ACAAATAAATAATCGTGAAATAAAAAAGAAACGATTAAAGCGATCCCTCTGTTAAACAAGACCAAGACGCGACATTTCCAAACCTTATAAAACACGATGCATCGGCAGCCGTTTGGCCGTCTTATTTTTTATGGTAGAAAGCAAATTGGCTGGACCGTTCGCGAAACGAGGAGGTATACCGCGCGCCTCGGGAGATATGTATCGCGCGTAAAATAGAGACGATAAAACTTTCTTCCGTACACCCGCTTGCTCGTCGGCCGTTGCCGAGATAGGGGCACGCACAGCACGGGCATCGGTAAAGTGAAATTGCGTATAAAGATTGCTGTCGATTGGCCGTGAGTCTCGGCGAGGTCAGTAAAAGTGCAATTTGCGGAATAAAAGTAACAACTGGAAAGAATTCCGATACCGACGAAGAAGAAAATATAGATTCCTTATAAAACGATGGTGATTACGGTTCCGGACGTTTTGTTTATTTTAGCGATACTTTATCGCTAACAGGGAACGTTATTATGTATCATTAGCACACAGGTGAAGCATTGAAAAGCATTAAACATGTATTTTCTTTTGTATCGATTAATCTTCGTTTTCCAGGGGTGAAAATTACCCTCGGAGTTGTGAACGAAACACGTATTTGATTACATTTCGAACAAACTATCAGAGATCAAAAGAAACGTTGAATAAAAAGTTTGCTTTTCAACGAACAACAACATGTACTAAATGCAAATAGTACCAAGATATAGGTGGTCGCTGTACCCGACATTGTTTAATTTAATCAAATGGTTTCCACCCCTTGAACATAAATATCGGTTGATACAAAAGAAATACGTGCGTAATATTTTACAATGCTCTAGCTGTAAGTCACGTTTCATCGAAATCAGCGTGTAACTCGAATCGTGAAGTAACACCGTGTGTAAGTCCCCGTGTTTACCCAGCCAGAAGCGATAATCGACTAAATTTCTGTGACGCGCGCGCACGGAGTACCCGGATGAAAGTGAATTCTTCGTTTCGCGCTAGAGAGCCGGATGTCCGAGGGGTTCGCGAAAACGGCGAGATACGATTCCCACCACTCCGGTTCGTAAATCATTCGGCCGAGTGGTCCAGATTTAGCCGAGACGCGGGAATAATTCGAACGACCGCGGACGCGTTTCACCTTTCCACGGTTCCGGGATATTCACGCTTGACGTAACCGTCCCCTTCGGGGGGGTTTATTAAATAGACGGGGCACCTGACTGCTGGACCTGAAAGTCGATTCTTCGAATTCCAGTCGGCGTTTCCCTTTGACGACTTTCTGTTTCTACCGGGTCTTTCCTTGCGAACATAATCATTAGAATCGTAATTATGATTCACTTGTAGATATTTGTAGATTACAACTAACCCCACTGTATCTATTTTTCTAAACGATTT